GTTGGACGGTTTGATATTGAATGAATTTGCCTCCAAAATCTCCATCACTATGCGCAAGTGCTCGAGTGTACATCCCACGTCTTTGAGTATACTAGGATGTCATCAAAGAACACGAGCACAAATTTGCGTAACTGCTCCTTGAATATGGAGTTCATTGCGAACTGAAAATTCGATGACGCGTTGCACAAGCCAAAGGGAATCACTAGGTACTCGTAGTTCCTTGGTACGTACAAAAGGCTGTTTTAGGTATGTCGGCCTTGTGGAGTCTAATCTGATGGTATCCGGCCCTAAGGTCGAGCTTAGAAAAGTAGCGTGACCCCCCTATCTCGTCGAGCATATCGTTGACACTCGGAATTAGGAAATGATCCTTGATGGTCGCAGCATTAAGGCACGATAGTCCGTGCAAAACCTCCACGTATTGTCCTTCTTTTTCGTGAGTAGGACCGGCGATGAGAACGGGCTCGTGCTGTGCTGGATGAGCCCGGACTCGAGCATCTCGCTTACCTGCCTCCCGATCTCCGTCTTCTGGAAATGCGCGTATCTGTAAGGATGAACGTGCACAACCTGCTTTTCATCAACCAGCGGTATGCGGTGGTCGAACTTTCGTTGTGGTGGTAGCCCCTGTGGATCGCCAAGGACTCGGCTAAATTGTTCGAGCAGTTTGCGTATCTCAGCCTGCGACTGCTCGACCTCGCCATCGCGCATTTCAAACTCCTCGATCACTACCTCATAAAGTTGGTCGCCCCCATGCCAAACTTGCTCAATACTCTTGAGACCAACCTCCTTGGTCCCACCATCCTCACTTGCCCTTAGCGTGACTCGCTGTTCTCTCGAGTCAAACTTCATGACTCCCGTGGGGTAATTGGTGGTCACGTCGCCCAGGCCTTCAAGCCATTAGACCCCTAGCACCACATCGGGTCCAACGAGAGGCAAGGCATAACGATCAGCCTTGACGGTCACCCTTTGGAATTTGATCGGTACACCCTTGAATGCCTCAAAACAACGCAATCGCTCGTCATTGGCCACACGCACATCAAACGGCTCGACCTTGGTCGTGGACAACTTCAGCTTCTATGAGAGCGCAATGTTGATAAAGTTATGTGATGAACCGTTGTCGGCGAGCACGACCACGCGGCGGTCCCTGACCCACGCGGATACTCGCATCGTCCTTGGCCCTCGCGTACCGACCATCGCATGCATCGAGATCTCGGCCTCCTCCTTGAGCGCCTCATCCTCGTCCACTTCCGCCTCGTCTATCGCCGGCTCTTCCTCGTCAGACTCGACTACGTCGATCACAAACGCTTGCTTGCACCTGTGGCCACGTACAAACTTCTCATCGCACTTGAAACATAGGCCCTTCTCGCGTCACCTACGCATCTCCTCGAACGATAGCTGTTTAACCTCCAGTATGGTTGGTCGAGGGTTATTCGGCAGTCGAGGGCTGGGATTGAACGTGCTTGGGCTCGGTGGAATGCAACGCTGCTCCGGGAACCTTACGTCCGCCCGTCCCCTTCGAGTGGCAGCGAGGTGATCGTCCCGGCACCTAGCAACCTCCATGGCCCTCTGCATAGTGTCTGGCCTCTCCAATCGCACTTCGGCAGCTAGATCAAATTTTAACCCGCCAATGAGTCCGCTCACCAGCGCGCTCTCCGGTCAACCACGTACGCGACACGCTAAGTGCTCGAATTCTTTTTGGTAGTCGCGCTGGCTCCCTGTCTGCGGCACGCGTGAGAGTGCCTCATCGTAATTGTGGTAGTCGAATGTCCCGAAACACGTGACTAGACGCTTGTAAGCCACTGCGGATGTCCCGAAGTCCTCCCATTCGATCACTTGTTGCATGCTGCGGTAGACGCTTGTAAGCCACTGCCACAATACGTTGGCCTCGCCGTCCAAATAATAGGCCGCGTATCGAACCCATTCGTGCCTAGCGGTTTTGTTGAGCTCGAAGTATTGCACGGCCCGATTGAGCCATGCGTCAGGGTCAACCCCGGTGAATGTGGACAGCGTTAGCCTCGATTTACCGAGCCGTGGATGGTCATGATTGTTTGAAGCCTGTGACCGCTGATCATACTCCTCCTCCTTCCGTTCGTGCTCGGCGTGGTATTGATCGGGCCGCTCCCAACTCCTTAGCGGGAACCTTGAAATGCCCTACCTTCATACGAAAGTCCTACCACCACAGCTCTCCTGTCCATGGTAGCTCGGTCATCGTTATCTCTCACTTCGGCGCTCAGCTATATCGTGCTGCTCACAGGGAATCACAACGGCTAACAGCCATCTGGTGAGGACAAGCTGATATCCCAGCTTGTCGATCGAGCTTACCCTCATTCTTAGTGTTAGGGTTGCTAAAGGTTCTCAATCAGCTCAGCTGATCGAACTCACGAAGATTATCCTTATGTTTTTCAGATGCTGTATCAAATAATATAATAATTTGACATATAGATTCTCTATTATAAATAATATAATAATTGAATAAATAAATTCTATATTATAAATAATAACTGAATAAGTTAAATTCTAGGTATAATGGTAATTATAAGTTATAAATAATAAAATAATTCAATATATAGATAAATAATAATTGTGGTAACATCAAACACTTTGACCGGCTGGGAATCAATTCGCCTTCTTCCTACTCGCAGACAGAACGTCGCGTACCTGAAAAGAACTCTCACACCGAAGGGGTTTTCTGGTGAAGAGGCTCCAATGCTTAAGTCAGTGTATGTTCTACTCAATTCTCAATAGTAAAGTGGATAAATCGGGCTGAAAATGTAAAGCTCACCCCTATGTATAGGGGTGAGATACCTGCTTCTAGAGGTTGCTCGGGTTAGCTGAGCTGGCTGCCCAAAAGCTGCCCGGCCTGCCCATCCGTACACACACAATATGCGTGTGTCAGAAACGGTTATCATCATAGAACAATACAATCGCGCCACGTGTTCTCCGCACATGGGGTAAAGATTCACCTGTATCCTCCTCGAAGGCTCTTGCGCTCTACCGTGTCCATGTCAATCCTTAGAGTGCTCTCAGTCTGTGAAGTGGTTGATCAAATGACCTTTTACTTGACAGGTCGATCTTTGATCAGATCCTCCATGTACTTGGGATCGACCTGTTCTCCCCGTATTGGGATAACCCATACCCTGTTCTCGTGGTGCTCGACCACAACACTCTGCTCGATTCTGCTCAGCCAAGATGGCCTGTTCATTTTGTGTTCTATTTAGTTTTTTAAATGGTTGTGTTTTTCTTATGTTTTTTTATACATTTGTTTTTTACAATTTTGGATACAGAAATTACGCGACTATGTTTTCAATTATATTTTTTTTTTAGTTTAAACACAAAAGTTACATTCAAACAAAGTTGATTATTATTTAAGAAGTGTAAAATATAAAAACGTTAACATCCAAATTTTTGGATGTTTTGTTCTTGAATAAAAAAAATACCCACAATTTATTCAATAACGAGTTATACATCCGAATTTGAAGAATTTTAATACATATTAAACAAAAAATAAATAGAATAAATTTTTGGGATTCTTATAATCCTAACTCTCCTAATGACTAATTTAGAAATATTTTAGATTTAATAGATAAAAATATAATATTTGGAATTTACTTAAAAATCTCCAAAATTAGAATCAAATCAACATTGTTACATTTCTTACTATCTAGAATAAAAGCAATGAATATATTCCATAATATTGTTCGGATTCTCAAATCCCAGTAATCGAAAATAAGTTAAACATAGCTAAAATTTTAGGGATATTCATTAAAATCAAACCTTCCTTTTTATAATGCTGATTTAGAAAAACAAGTATACAAAAAATAAAGTCAGAATTTTAAAATCCAAACCATAAGAAGTAGTTAGACATGCCAAGTATATCAAATTGGATTAAACAGAAAATAAAAAGATAAACTGTAAGAGATTCTCATAATTCCAAACTTCCTTTTTATTATGTACATTTCAATAAAAAACGAGTATATCTCAAATTAACATTGAAATTCTCAAACCTCAACAATCAGAAACGTAGATTTATGAAAAAATGAGTATATCCCAATATACTGTTTGATTCGAAAATCCTAACAATTTTATAATTGTTAAACATCATAAATGCTTAGTTTTAACATATCGGATTTAAAAAAATAAGGGCATAAAACTTTTTGAGAACTTAACATTCCTTTATACTATTTAAAAAAAAAAAATGTTCACATATTAACGAGATAAGGATATAATGTTATTAGAATAGTTTTTATAACCACCAAAATCGAAAAAAAAAAATCAAGCCTTGGTATATTTTTGGATATTACTTTTTTTTTACCAAAATCGGCAAAAAAATCAAATCAAGTAAAAGCTTATATTCATGTAAATCTACATTTTAAACATTACAAAAATGAGTGAAAGATATGCACCAAAAATTCATCTATAAATAAGCTCACATCTACGGTCAAATAAAATGCAATACTCATAAAAAAAATAAAATTAAAAAATAAAAAAAAATACACGTTCAAAATAAAAGTCACTTATCAATCTTTTGACCTAATCATGAATCTTAAAAGAAATACGAGGGTTATCTTGAAACTTCCAACAACATCTTTAGTAAGATGTTTGATACCTCTTACTTATATGGAAATAATTTTCCATGATAGTGAGTTGGTATTCTTCATTGTGTGATTTAATTAGACTTGCCAGAACGGGCCTGGGCCCGCGGGCCGGCTCGCCCCACCCCGCCAAACAGGTGTGTTGGGTTGGTATTTTATAGGCCCGCCAAATGGCGGGCCTAAACGGGCTAGCCCGCGCGGGCCGCGAGCTTTGGCGGGCGGGCCGCGGGCCAGCACGCCATTACAGAAAAAAAAAAAAAATTAATATATGTAATGTAAGTATGTAACTATGTATTAGAAATCGCGTGCACGCCATATGAATCTCATTCTTTCACTTATGATTTTTAATATTTTTTTTCATCAAGTCTTAAAATTAAAAAATAAAAACAAATTGAAACAAACAAAGAGAACTTAACACTTAACAGAGTCGCGTCGTGGTCTAATTTCATTCACAAACGTAAACCCTAGTCTCTCACTCTCAAGTCTCATCTTCGTCTCTCTCAACCCCGGTGTGCGGCTAGTCGACGACCTTCGAGCGGCGGAGACGGCGACGGCGAGACCTTTGAGGCTTCGACTCGAGCGGTGGGACCTCGACTCGTGTGGCGACTGGCAAGCAGCGAACCTTCAAGGGGCTACAGCAGACGAGCGGCGAGTGACTAGCGGGAAGGGGCAGCAGCACGGTCTCCTAGCGGCGCCGGCAACGACAAGACAACTCCATTTCAGTAAAGGGTAAAGATTGCTGAACCTGAACCTCTTTGATTTTTTGTTTTATCTATTCTATGAGGTGTATTTGTGTGTATTTGTCAGTGATTGTGAATTGAATTGGGTGACATTGATTTGAATCAATGTTGTGATTATATATTGAATTCTGAAGTTGATGAATGATGAGTTGATTTTGATTTGTTTTTCTCTATTTTCTTTTGGAGGTGTTGAAATCATAATGGATCCATCTTCTGTAGACAAATGCATTAATGTGGATGATGATAATCAAAATGAAATGTCTGGTACCTCTAAAGCTAACCCAAAGGAAACTTCTGACGTTTGGGATTTTTTTAATAAATTGGGTGCCGGTGCAGATGGTATATTAAGAGCAGTGTGTAAGGCATATAAAAAAGTGTATAAGTCTGGGGGTAAAAGATATGGAACTTCTACTTTGAGGCGCCATATGCAAGCTTGCAAAATGATAAAATATCATGATGTTGGTCAAATGTTTGTTGATAATGAAGGAAAACTTCAATCTAGAAAGATATGTCCCAAGACTTCACGAGACTTGTTAGCTACTACAGTAATTAAGCATGATATACCATTTTCGTTTGTCGAATATGATGGCATTAGGGCTTGGATGTCTTATATAAACCCTAATGTTCCTCGTGTTTCCAGAAATACTCTTGTTTCCGACATTACGAAAATGCATATGAGGGATAAAGCGAAGCTTAAGCATGTTTTGACTAGTCTTGAAAGTAGAGTTTGCTTAACTTCTGATGTGTGGACTGCATGCAGTAGTGAAGGGTATATTTGCTTGACTGCGCATTATATTGATGAGAATTAGAAGCTAAATAGTAAAATACTTTCGTTTGATGCCATGCCTTCTCCACATTCCGGAGTTGAATTAGCTTCTAAAGTATTTGAATGTTTGAAAGATTGGGGGATTGAGAAGAAAATATTTTCATTCACACTTGATAATGCGAGTAGCAATGATTCTATGTCCAAAATTTTGAAAGAACAACTTGCTTTGAATGGGAGCTTAGTGTGCGATGTCAAGTTTTTTCATGTTCGGTGTGCCGCTCACATTTTGAATCTCATTGTCCAAGAAGGTGTGAAAGTTATCAGTGATGCATTGGCAAAGATTAGGGAACTATTAAATATGTGAAAGGCTCCCAAGGTAGGATGAAAAAATTAAAAGAATGTATAAAAGCGGTTGGTGGTATTGAAACGGGTGTGGGTTTGAGACTTGATGTACCGACCCGTTGGAACTCGACATATTTGATGTTGGAAAGTGCCATTGAATACAAGAGGGTTTTCTCTTCTCTTCAATTACATGATCGAAATTATGTTTTTTGTCCTTCAAATGAAAAGTGGACGAGGGTGGAGAGAATATGCGATTTCCTTGAGCCGTTTTATGAGACTACCAAATTGATCTCCGGTTCTTCTTATCCTACTTCAAACATGTATTTTATGCAAGTTTGGAAGATACAAGAGGCATTGTTGAGAAATATGATGAATGATGATGAGACTATAAGAGAGATGTGCATGTTGATGAAAGAAAAATTTGACAAGTATTGAGGTGAATATAAAGAGTTGCTTGCATTTAGTGTCATTCTTGATCCAAGAATCAAACATTTGATGTTGGAGTATTTTTATTCCAAAGTTGAGTTTGATCATGTCAAATGCGAAAAGACTATGTTGCTTGTGAAGCAAAACTTGCACGAATTATATGAGAGTTATGAGAGTGCTTTGGTCCCACATTCTTCCCAAGGGCAAGTTTCTTCGTCTCAAACTATTCCATCTCCATTGCCAAGTAGATCGACTTTGAAAACACATGGAAAAAGAGTTTTTGATGTAAGCATTTTAACAAGTTTCATGTTTATATATTTTCTTTATTTTTCTATGTGTGATAAACAACTAATTATTAAATGAATTTTTTGATTTAATGTAGGACATGTGTTCTTTTGAGAGCAAATCTAAAAGAATTGTCGGGGAATCTCAATTGGACCTCTATTTGGAGGAACCAAAATTTGATTTTGGTTTTTATGACAAGTTGGATGTCTTGGGGTATTGGAAAGATCAAGAGAAGCGATTCCCGACCCATGCATTGATGGCACGTGATGTGTTGGCTATTCCCATTACTAGTGTTGCTTCGGAGTCCGCTTTCTCCATTGGTGCTCACGTGCTCACCAAGTATAGGAGTCGTATTCTACTGGAAAAAATTCAAGCTCTCATTTGCACACGTAATTGGTTGCATGGATTCGTTGTTGGTAGAAATATTTTTTACATTTAAGTTACATTTATTCATGTACTCGAATTAATGTATACTTCGATATGTCCCTTTCTTTAATTTATATTTTTGTATTTTTTATATGTAGATGATGAAAAAAATCAAGTGAAGGTTCAAATGTTCTAGCTAGCATTGATGAAGAAGTTGATGAAGGAGAAATTGAGGATTTTGATGATGTGATGATTGATGAATTTTGAGTTTGATGTAGTGCTTTTGATTGTTGATGTAATTCACTAATTTGTTTTCTTTGGATGATTGATGGACTTGTAGGCTTTAAACTTTAATGTTTCTATGACATTATCTTTTATTTGTTTGGATTTGATTTGAATGAAAGGACTTGGTTTATTCAATTGTATTGTGAATTTTGTCCCTCCCCGCCCCGCCAAAAGGCGGGTTTTGGCGGGCTGTTTTGACAAGTCTAGATTTAATAGTAGTTGTCAATATTTATTGTTGTATTTTTTTTAATTCTATTTTTGTATTGCGATTTTTATAGGATGGTCGCGTAAATAGATTAATTTGTGGCGTTGACCATAGTTTTTAAACCCACCCGGGAATCGACCCAGGCAGTTCTCCGGGCCACTGAGTGAATTGCTGAACCGGATAATTAATTTTTTTTTAATATTATATATAGAGCATTTTGTCATATAAATATGCATAAAAGTAACAAAATTAAATAATTTGTATATAAAGTTTGTACATTTAAGTGTTAATAATATGTATCTCGTGATAAATATTTACCATATAAATATATATACATAGTTTTATTTTTTAAAAAAAAAAATACTTTACAAAATAAAAAATATAAGAAAAGTATAGGGACTGGGTCAACTGGGTTGACACGGCCGGGTCAATGTCCCGGTCGACCGGGTTTTGACCATGTCCTTTGTTGCCCGATCCGAATAGTCTACAGATCGGTTCCGCCTCTGGGTTGACTGGGTCTCGGGTCGACCTGTCGGGCCGATCCGAGTTGAAAAATTGGCATTAACATTCCAATTATGCAAGTTTGAGGAGAGTATAGTATATGTTATTCGTGATTACCAATTAGAAAGTATCATTGGTAAATAAGATCTACCATCGTAAAGTTCAAACTTAACATTCATGGGAAGACCAATGAGTTGGAATATCCTACAAATTTCTAACGTTTTATTTTGACGTCCATAATTTTGCTACCCCGAAAGATGTTGCCAATGTTCTTTTCAAAAGCAAATGGTTGTGTTTTTAATTTTATATTCAAATATGTAGACATACATATGGTTGTGTTTTATTCTAATTTTGCGTTATGTTGTTAACGTATATCCCTCATCTAATATTATAATCATCACTGAATATTGCTTCCCCGTGCATGGTATGGGTTATGCTCTAGTTTATATAGAGACGAGATATATAAACTTGGGATAAAATAAGTCTATTTTTAAAATGAGAACGTGACGATAAATTTAACCATTAAATATTGTTTAGATGTAGAAAGATCAAGATTTACTCTCAAGATATAAAATTGGATTCAACCATTTGTACTCATTCAATTGACTATGTAACTCATCATCGATTTACTATTCCGCCCATTTAGAGCCTTTTTTATATACAAATTGGGGATCCGATCTCAACCCCACCTTTCTTGGNATTATTATAATATTATTTAATAAAAAAATTCAACCGATTCAACCAACCAGTGAATCATTGGAATAACCCTACCAATAGCAAGACACCCATTCCCCAAATCGAAACCAAAAACGAAATCTGAATAAGATCCCAAATCCGAGTATTCATCAATCCATTCCTTGGACAATGGAGGTTCCGGGTTCGTCTAAGAAAATGATTGCGACCCAGGAGGAGATGGTGGCGGCGAAGGTGCCGATCCCTTACCGAGACCAATGTGCCCATTTGCTGATCCCACTCAACAAATGCCGGCAGGCGGAGTTCTACCTGCCATGGAAGTGCGAGTCCGAGCGCCACACTTACGAGAAGTGCGAGTACGAGCTCGTCATGGAACGGATGCTCCAGATGCAGAAGATCCGCGAGCGCGAGGCACAGCTGAAAACCCAATCCCCTCATTCGATTCCCCTGGTTCCCAAGACTGCTAATGCTTGATTATGAGGTGAAATTTCTCTTAAGAACTTCGTCTGTTTCTTTCTTCCCCTTTTCTTTATCCCGGGCATTTCCTTCTTTTTGTATGTGTGTGTATGTGGAGATTTCCATAATAAATTATAGTTGAATGATGTCCACTTGTTTGTTCATGCTTCTGGGTTGTTGTGTTCTTGTTTTTTCGGTCAATTCAGTCGATCGTGAAAAAGGTAATGGAAATGTGTACCCCGAGCAATCTTGTAAATTGCTAACCTATGTTGACGATGGATGAGATGAAATTCGACTTTAATTATGTACCGGAATTTCATAAGATAGTGGATTTTTTTGAGTCCCCTTATCATAACATTTTAAATGTATTAGCAGGGCCTTTTATCATACTTCTGTTTCAAGGTGTATGGATGCTGTGTATTAGCAGGGCCTTTTTTTTTTATCATACTTCTGTTTCAAACAGCAATATTAAATTCTGTTGTCTAGGGTGTATGGATGCTTTATTTTGGTTGCTTGAAACAATAGTATGGATTCCTTAATTGGTGAGACTTCTTTACTGGTAAGTATACAAGGTGATTCACCAGATCTTATGTTTATGGAACTGTGGGTGACTTTTCACTATAACCTAATTGCTTTGGTTGATAATAACTCATGTATGAATTCTTTGCCTTCAATTTACTTGTGGGGCATTCTTTGCTATCTGTTCCTTTTTATTATCAGTGACTTTAGTAACATATATTTATTTCTCCATGCTACACATATCTACCAATTTTAAATTCTTAATTGGTTTATGTGATATCCTTTTTATGCTTCCTTTTCATGTTTTACTTGATTGAATATGTTATAAGTTTAACTCGAAATGGTATGCACAGCTGTTAAAGCCATGGACCATTGCTCCAATATTTGATCAAATATATGATAGAAAAAATGGGGATATCACACGTTTGTACATGTGTGCTCGTCTCTCTTATTGATTTATTACACATTTATGCAAGACTCGGTTTAGCGTTGAACTTTCTACTAAAATTTGGATGAACTAGGGTGTCGTTTTATTATGAAGTAGTCCATCCCTAAGAGAGCAACTTCAATTTCTAGACTTTTTAGAATGCCAAATATGATGATGTTCAGTCTTTTGTGTGGTCGTTTTAGTTAACTTAAAAGTGAGTGGTAAGTAGTCAGATCTGAAATTGGTTACAGTTCCTTGTTTCTCGAGATCAGTCCAGAGATGCATCCTGTCTTCTGCTGCCTGCATTTCCTTCTCAAAGTATGCAGAATATTATAATTCTCATCATCAGTTCCAATCCGGAGTTTGTTTTTCCATCACCTCTTTATCAAAATTGATTTTTTGGGAAAAGAAAAAAGAAAAAGTAAAGAAAAAAAAAATGCACCCACCTTATTCATCCTTCAACAGCGTAATGAGCGTTTTCCTGGTACTATATACCATGGTTTTGAGAACCGGATAGTCGGATTGGGAACAGGTCACCATATTGGTTTGGTCCACCAATCAGAACAGTTTGCGAAGGATGTGGTCAAAAGGCTTTCACCGGTAAAAACTGGTTAAAAACCAGTTTTAACTGATCAAATTTGTTTCCTTTTTTGTTATTTTAATATACTTAAACACATTTTTTAAATAGATAAAAATACATATATAAATATGTTGGGTATATCATGTGTCAATTATTATGTCGATTAATTTAGACATTTGCATTATTTTAAATTTATTGCTTCAAGAAAAATACGGTCGAACCTACGGTCGTCCACCTTTAGAGTGACTGTAGTTTAGGTAACTTGGTTGGTCCGTTGAGGGCATCCTAGTAACATGGAAAGATCTGTCTCCTGATTATCATTGAGTAGTTATATTCTCTGGTAGACATATTCAGCCATTGTTCAAAATTAGTTTTTGGTATTCCTCATTGTTTTGTCCATCTCTGACCCCATCAGCTACCTGCTTGAAATCTCCACTTGGACTCGTTATCTTTTTAAGGCCATGTCTGCAGTTGTGAAAAAAGGCTTTGACACTTTATGATACAGCGTGTTTGAGAACTCATGGAACTCTTGTTTGCATTTTCCATTAAATTTGCTCTATAGACAGAACTAGAAGCCTGAAGATGGATTGTATCCCAAATGAGAATCTTCCCGAACAAAGAAAAACTTTTCCCCTTTATGGATCATAGCACTAGTTTTTGCTTGAAATTCTATTTGCCATTTATGATTATTTTAATGCCAATGAATCATGTGATTCAATATCAAATGGATACAGGCATACATAATATTTTCCTTAGTATAATCAGTTCCAGCTTCTTCTATTTAGCTTCCTTTATTAAAGAGTTCTTGCTTCACGAGAGATCCGTAATTGAAAATTACTAGACTTGCTAACACGAACAATAAACATGGTTTTAACCAATCTTACATTCGGCTCATTTTTCTAGCAACAGTGTACTATATTTGGACTAGGGATGGTATTCCAGGGTAATGGCTGGTGTAGTGTATTGGTGAAACTTAAAGTTTCTGAGCAATTGTATATGCTAAAGCTGTCGTGAGAAATTCTTGTTGATTATATTCTGACCTACGGTGGCCAATTCCCTCAACTGCCATGACATTACTTGCCACGATGTTGATCGATTGTGTGTTTCTCTACTTCACAGTCTCGTAAAGCTCCGTTTGACTTGATTAACTTTAGCTGCAGAGGCTTGACACTTGGATCCAATTTTGCACATACTCACTTATTAAAGCAAAATGGGTCGCCCATTTTACATAAAGCAGTACTGATTCATTCTCTCTCTAATGTCCGCAGTAGCATTGGTTTCTAGAATCTTGATTATCAAAGAAGTGATGAATTTCATGTGCTAGAAATGGGTAATCTTGATTGCATATTTGCCTGTTTTGAGAGCCCTGTTTGGTGTATTGATTTTCACGTGTTGTTAGAGATCAAGTGATTTTGATCTCTCTCAGTCCATGTAATCCACTCCCTTTCACATATTNTGTGGTTCATTTTGGTTTACTCGTTAATGTGTCTGGTTCTTAATGTTAACTTGTTGATAAATTACTGGCTACATTGAACGTCAGTATTTCCCTTGCTTGTTTTTAGGTAGATGTCTGCAGAATTATTTTTCAATATGTCATATCTGAAAAATGATGCTTCTCATGATGTCTTCAGGAAGAAGCTGGAGATGTTTGCAGATGCTGGAAGTGGTTGAGTTTATAAATCAAAATGTTTCTGTTTCCATTTATACCAGACATTGTAGTTAACATTTGCCATGGCAAACCAGTTTGTAATAAATTTCACACATGATTGTGTATTTGTGCTCCAGTTTAAACTTATCTCCAAAGTTTTACCTGAAATGATTCACCATTGTGTTTTGACAGTTTGCTATCTAATTCGACAACTATTTTGTTTAGCTGTGACTTGCATTTAGGGTTGTAAACTCATGAAAACCATATCATATACACATAAAAAGGATTGATTATTTCTAAAAAGAATAATTGTTTCCCGCTAAAAATAATAAATAAATAAATAAAATAAACTAATACTAAATTTAAAAATAGATTAATTAATTTATGGTATTATGTTGGCAAAATTAATGAATATTTTTTCGATATATAGTGGGTGGGATCTATTTGGTAGGAAAAAGATTTAATTTATGCGTATATGCATGGCAATAAATCTTAATTTGGGTTTCACAATTTTTAATCATGATATATTATTCATTGCAAACTATACATAAATTTTGTTGGTGGCATAAAAATATTTGTCCTCGTATAATTTTCATGTTAGTTTTTGCCTTTTGTGCTGTAGTATATGCCTCTGTAGTGTGTTTTAAAGAATTCTGTTATTGTTGGAAAAGCAATGATTGTAATAGAGAAATTCAACTATGACATATTGATGTTGCGCAACGTGAACGAAACGAAAGAAGAGATAAAAATCCAAAATCTTACGTTATTTCAATCAAATACCGCGGCTAAATGCCAAGGGAACAGAAATAAATAGTGTCTCAAAAAATCTAAATCTCTATCTTGCTAGACAAGAAAAGAATTATTCTCCTAATTAAATAAAGCAAATAAGAAAAATAAAATAAATAAATACGGCAATCGAATAATTAAATATCCTAAAGCTGTAGAGGACCGTATTTTGCCAGATATGCGAGCGTGATCTTGTCGCCATCATCCTCCCTCAGTTGAGGAGGATTCGCCCTCGAATCTGAACCGATCTCGTCGTTCTCGGAATTGTCGCCTCCCTAAGGAACTAGGTGCTTAACGTTGAACACATAAGACGTACGAATGTGAGACGGTAGACGGAGACAATACGCATTCGGATAAATCTTCTCAATGATCTCAGCGGGGCCAATATTATGAGCAGAAAACTTGTTATAGTCATGAGCTGAGAAATGGTCCTTAGTCAACACATCCCAGACGAAGTCACCCACTTCAAACTCAACATGTCAACAACGAGCATTGATAGGTCGAAAAATGTGCACGTTTTATATATTTAATAGTGTATTTTTATACACTTATTCTATTCGCACGTTTATATTTTTCGACTTATTTATTATTTAGATGGATTTATTTGCTTTGAATATTTTATATTTATTTTCAGCACGATTGAGTATTTTGTGAACGAGAGCCTTGGACGGGATTTCACACGAGCCCAAGTTTAGGCCCAACAAGGATTTATCACTCAAAAGGAAGTTGGGCCAATTGACCAACAATTATTTCATTAGAATTTGATTCACGGGAAGTTGATTGGTGGAATTTAATTTGATGGGCTTGCTAATCTACATGCATTGTAAGCATTTGAGGCTGGAGCACTAACACGAATGCATTTGGGAGAATTATTTGGGAGTCCTTATGCAACTAGGATTATTGTTACTTGGGGAAGGAATTATTTACGTGAGGAGAGGCGTGAACATTATATTTTTTTTTAACGAGGAAAAAAACGCGAGAGGCCGTACAGAAGAAAAAGAGAAAAGAGGCAGACAGAGAGACGCACGCACGAACTGAGAAGAAAGAAGGCTACACACGCGGAGGGAAGCCGCACACGCACACGAGGGAGATATTTATTCTCTCTTTTATCTAGTATTTATTTTTA